TCACAGAGGAGCATGCCTCACCGTGTGCACTGAGGCAGAAATGAGTTGAACATTCCAGGGGGCAGCTGTGGCAGGGACTGGATGCGGGCCTGTTCCTGCTCACCTCCAGGTGGGCAAAAGCAGCTGTCCTCTTCCTCACTGTTTATTCTGGCCACCTGCTCAGGTAGGCGGGAGAAGTCCAGGTGGGCGCAGTGAGAGATAGCCAGGGGGTGTTGATTTCCATTGTGTGTGGACCAGGGAGAGCACCTCATTCCTCAGGTCTAAGCATTAAGAAGCCCAGAGTGGGTGCTGTCAGGAAAGCCAGCCCAGACCTTAGCATTCCAGAACTTTAGGTGAGGGCTGCAAACTCCAATGCCTGTAGTGGCTGGGGAGCTACCACAGTGAATGCCACGGCAGCCGTGGCCTTCTTGGCCTGCCGCTTTCTCAGGCTGGAGAGACATGAATTCACAGAGACAATATTGTGTTGGAAGTCCAACATCTGTGCAAATGCTATGAGGTATGGCAATGGGATTTGCTGCTTCAGTATTGGGGAGATGGGGGGATGGGCAGGTGGGGACCCTGCCCTTCTCCCGTTAAAGAGGCTGCTGACCCCACCCACCAGAACCTATTTTTCTGTGGGAATGAGAGCACCCCAAGGTGGAGCTGCTGTCAGACCCCGTCCTATCCCCCATACCTTACCTTTCACTGTGCTCCGGAAACAGCCACTTGTATCTTTATCGTTGCATCTTTTATGCTTTTTCCAGAGTATGGGAATGCTGCTCTGCAGGGTGGGTACCGGCTGTGCTGTGAAATTAACACTCTTCAAGAGCAGCCTCAGCCCCAGGCTGACAGGGGTTAATGTAGGAGCCTTCAGACTCCCTCCCCTCACCCCAGGGTGGAGGGACTCTAAGGCTCGGGCTTTGTACCTGGTTCCCAGAGGGATTTGGCTCCAGTTCCCCAAGGTGGCGGCTGGCTCAGGGGCACAGTTGTGCTGGCTGCCTGCCTCCTCTCCGCCCTTTCCAGGCTGTCTGCAGCTCCTAAGGAAACCAGTTTGCCTTTATCCCAGTGTCAGCTGCCGGTGTAACATAAACCAAGACACCTGATTTTCTAGAGGACCCAAGTCGGCTTTTTATATAAAACCCCTTTGACCAGGTGCGGTAGCTCACGCCTGTAATCCCAGCACTTTGGGAGGCCGAGGCAGGGGATCACCTGAGGTCAGGAGTTTGAGACCAGCCTGGCCAACATGGTGAAACCCTGTCTCTACTAAAAATACAAAAAAATTAGCCGGGTGTGGTGGTGGGCACCTGTAATCTCAGCTACTCGGGAGGCCGAGGGAGGAGAATTGCTGGAACCTGCGAAGTGGAGGTTGCCGTGAACTGAGATCTTGCCACTGCACTCCAGCCTGGATGACAAGAGCGAAACTCGTCTCAAAAAAAAAAAACCTTCATTTTTGAGTGCTGTCCTCGAATGTCAACTGTTTGTTTTTGTTTTGAGACAGAGTCTTGCTTTGTTACCCAGGCTGGAGTGCAGTGATGTGATCACAGCTTACTGCAGCCTCGACCTCCTGGGCTCAGGTGACCCTCCCACCTGAGCCTCCCAAGTAGCTATGGCTACAGGTGCATGCCACCATACCCGGTGAATGTTTTGTTTTGTTTCTGTAGAGACAGGGTTTCGCCATGTTGCCCAGGCTGGTCTCAAACTCCTGGACTCAAGTATCTCCCTGCCTTGGCCTCGCAGAGTGCTGAGGGTTACAGGTGTGAGCCACCATGCCGGGCCTGTCAATTGTTAAAAACAAGAACAAAGACAATGTGAGCCACACATCCATGGGACAAATTAGGCCCATGGCCAAAGGTATACAGGGCTGAGTGCACCTGAGCTTGGCCTGACCCTCTGAACTCTTGGGCACTGTGGCTGTGGCCATCCCCAAGGGTATACTTTTCAATGACTTGGCTGTCTTCCTTCTCCGCACTGAAATGCATCCATTGTCACTCTCCCTCCCTTCCTTTCTCCTTTCCTTTCCCAACCTTCTCCTCCCTTCCTTCCTCTTTCTTTTTCTTCTTTTTAAGAGATGGGATCTTGCCATGTTGACCAGGCTGATCTTGAACTCCTTGCCTCAAACAATCCTCCCATCTCAGCCTCCCAAAGTACTGAATTACAGGTGTGAGCCACTACGCTCAGCCTCTTCCTCCCTTTCTTTCCTCTTTCCTCTTTTCTTCCCTCTCCTTCCTTCTCCCTCCCTCCCTTCCTTCTTTTTCCTCCATCTAATTTTCTTGGGCAGGCCTCTCCTGCTGGGCATTTACTACCTGCTTCTTCTTCCAATAAACAGCCCACAGCACTCAGCAAAGGTTTTACTAGCAACTAGAGGATTACACCTCCAGGAAACCCATTTACTGCTGGTAACCTTTGTCCAACTGTTTCAGAAATGGCTCCTTTAAGAGCTATCTCAAACTCCTATTTCTCAGATAAATAGTATCCTGTGGTGTTTATGCCTGGCCTGGCTCTCCAGAGTCCCCACTCTCTGTAGGGGATTCCACATCTTTTGGGTCATGTCACAGAGGCCCCACAGTGTGGGTTGAGTTGAGGAAAACAAGAACCAGGGAGTTTGGGGACAGCAGCATGGATGTCTCAGGGCCTTGAACCCTGGCCCACAGTGCCCGAAAGGCTGCTGCAATCTCTGAGGGCTCCTCCTACCCTGGCAGCTCAGTGAGGATGGTGTGAAGGGGGATGAGCCTTAAACCCAACCCTGGGCTTTTTCTCCCAGCCGACTCACCCACCACCTTCTTGTCTGCTTAGGATGGCTTTTGGTCCTACACACTTCCAGCTGCAGGCTGCTGGTAGCTACTAACTCTTCTGTAGTATGACGGAGCCTTGGCTGGGTATAGTGGCTCACACCTATCATCCCAGCACTTTGGGAGGCTGAGGCTGGCAGATCGCTTGAGCTCAGAAGTTCTAGACCAGCCTGGGCAACACGGTGAGGCCCCATCTCTAAAAAAAATACCAAAAAAAGCGCTAGCAAGTGTGGCACATGCCTGTAGCCACAGCTACTTGGGAGGCTGAGGCAGGAGGATTGCTTGGGCCTGGGTGGTCCCGGCTGCAGCAGTGAGCTGTGATTGCATCACTGCACTCCTAACTGGGTGACAATGCCTTAAAAAATAAAGGAAGCCAGAGTCTTGAAAATGTTGTTGTTTAGGGGGAAAAAAGGTTTTCATGATAAAGGAATTCCGTAAAAATGGCTCTCTCTAGGCTGTGAGTCAAAGGAAAGCAGCCTACCAGAGCCTGTAATCAAATGTGCACTGTACCCTCCCAAAAGCAACCCTGTGACCACAGTTCCTCCACACACACTTGGGGACGCTGCTGCAGGCTCCAGGGCTGGGCCTAGCAGGGCTCGGTGGGCAGTGGCACAGGTCCCTGACCCCAGCCCCCTGCTGACCAAACTGCTTTCCAGAGAGTCCGAGCTGACTCTCCCTGTCCTAGAGAGCCATGGGGCACTTGGCTCCTCCCCAGGGTTGGGTAAATTGGGGTATAGGAAGGAAGACTGAGGATCTCAAAGGAGTCTGGGGGTGGGGGGAAGGAGGAGGAAGAGAGACAGTTCCGACCTGGTGGCTGAGGCAGGGGTAGGTGGGGAGGCGTCCAGGCTTCTCCGCTCTGTGATTAGTGCAATTTGTTTCCCCAGGGGGTCATTTGTGGTAGGAAACACAGCCTGGAAATTAACTATATCCAGCCCCCAGTTCAGGGAGACAGCAATAGCACCTGACTGTGGGGTGGCAGTTTCTGTTCAGGTTGGGATGACAGGCACTGGCTCAAATACTTTCAGGGGCAGGAGGGAGATGGCTTGAGCTCCCCAGACCTGGACTGGGTGAAGTGGCAGAGACACAGGTTTGAGATCTGGGGAGGGGGCCTGTTTCCTCACACTGAGCCTCTCTGAGTCTTCACTCCCTCACTCCAGGAGCCACTGTCGCTGTGCTCAGCCCTCCTCTGCCTCTTCCTGCAGCTGCTGGTCCTGCTCCCGCCATGTCCCAAGACCTACAAAGGCCCACCAGCTCTGGGTTCTGTGTTCAAAAACCCTCCCTTCCATCTGGCTGCGCCTTGTTGTAGAAGCTTCACAAGCAAACCCAATAACTCAGGATCCCTGGATTCCAGCAGGTGGTGCTTCTATCAGCTTGTACAGATCAGTAAGACCCACTTGGCCTGTGCAGGCATTTGCCCCCACTACGCCCCGCTCTTCTTTCTCTCCGGGGAAATGCCATGCCCTATAGGCAGCTCTTGGGAGATAGCAGGGCTGAAATCTAACAACGACTGAAGTTGTTATGACGGATGTAGCTGCAATTTGAAAGGACTCCCTTCCATTTCTTTTTTATTTATTTATTTTGTTTTCTTCTTTTTTTTTAGTATCTCTGGGATTCCCTTCAATTTCTTAGCTGAAAGGGTCCTTGGCAATCTTCTCATGTGCTTTTGGAGATTTAGTTGAAGGCCAAATAAATCTAAAATGCTACCCGAAGCAGATCAAAACTACACAGAGAGCATATCAAAACACACAGTGGCTCTCCTTAAGAGGGTGCCGCCTACCCTTTCAGCTGACTTTTGAATCCCTAACGGGGCTTTCTGGGAACCATGGTTGTGAACAACTGATTATACCTTCATTTTAAAAGGAAACTGGTGTCCAAGTAAGGGAAGTGACTTATCTAAGGTCACACAGCCAGACAGTGGCAAAGCTGGGACTTGTGCCCAGGCTCCCGGACTGCTGGCGCATTGCTCCTGTGTCTGCCCCCAAATACCTGAGTTTTCTTTCTCTCCGCCCAGCGCCATCCCCACCAGCTCTGCCAGCCTGGTAACGTAAGGAACGGTCATCCTGTCCCACAGTGCCCTAGTGCCTTTGGTCCCTTGGGAATGGGCAGGGGAATTCCCTGTCCTGCTTCATGCTGGAAGTCACCTCCCTTCTATCACTGTTAATTAAAAAAAAAAAAAAAATTATGACCCAATTGCTGCTGAGAACAAATGCAAAGGAAAAGGCAGAGACACGCTGCAGGTCTTGCTCGTTGCATGTTTTCATTTTTAATTAAATAAGTCAAGTAGGCCATCAGGAGAGGGGTTCACATTCTATTCTGCAAAGCAGTCCCTGACTGCTGGCGACTGCCAGCTCTGAAGGGCAGCCCCAGCACTTCCAGGAGATGGCAGATTGTCTGTGGCCACGGCAAGGACATCTGGGACAACAGTGACAGCAGTGGGGCTGGGAGTAATGTGGAGCAGTGCCAGAGGCCGAGCAGAATGGGCTACATGCTATACACACACACACACACGCACATACACGGGCACATATGTACATACTGTGGCTGTGTATGCCATGAAGGGGTGTCATACCACGCAGACATGAAACAGGACACAGGGCAGAGGTGTTGGCAAAAGGACAGTGTGCAGGACCCAGGCAGACGCAGGGGGAGCCAGGCAAATGTGGACCAGAAAATACAGCTAAGATGGAGACTTCAGGGGGTGCCCAGTTCAAGCCAATGGTAGAGGAAGCAGATCATGTGGGTCATTTCATTTCCCCAGAGAAGTACCTGATCTAGGTACCTGAGCTAGGCCCATGAGGAGGGCACCATGTCTGTAGCCTTGGAAACATGTACAAATTTGTCCCCCATACAGCTATGGGATGCCAAAGGACACAAGACCAAAGGATCTTGAAGCTCTTGAGACATGTGAAGTTGCCAATTCTGCTTTTGCACTTTTGAGGTACAGAGTAACTTCCACAATCTCCGAACCTGCAGTGAGTTGAGAGGTGATGTGGCTGCATTCAGGAAGCCCCAGACCCTGCCTTCCATCTGGCTGCGCCTTGTCCTAGAAGCTTCACAGGCAAACCCAATAACTCAGGAGCCCTGGATTCCAGCAGGTGGACCTTCTATCAGCTTGTACAGATCAGTAAGACCCAGTTGGCCTGTGCAGGCATTTGCCCCCACCTCGCCCCCATTCTCTCTCCTTGCCTCAGGAATCAGCCCTTTGAGATCTGGTTTTGTTTTCAGACTTTGGGAATGGGGGTTGGAGGGGACTGCCTTGAGGACACAGCCACCCAGTCTTCGGCTCCTGTCCTAGCAAGGGACAACCCCTACAGTTAATTGGTCTCCCCATGTTACCCAGGCTGGTCTCCAACTCCTGGGCTCAAGCAATCCTCCCACCTTGGCCTCCCCAAATGCCGGCATTACAGGTGTGAACCACCGTACCGGGCCCCTACGGTCAATTAAAATAGGCCCTAGTATAGGAGAGGATGACTCAGGGCTACAGGACTTTAGGGTCAGGATCAGACCATTAGATGCTTCTATCTCCTCTACCACCCAGGCCAAGAATCAATCTTCTGGGAAGGACCTCCTGCTGGAGCTCCTTCCATTGCCAGACAGATGGCAGAGATAGATGTCATGTGATGCCTGGTGCCCTCTGTTCTGTGGGGTTTGGTCAGCAGCTGCCCTGCTATGCCAGCCTCCGGCAGCAGCTCCCATGCTGAGGGTGCTAGCCGACAGGAAGTAAACTTGTCATTTACCATCTCTTTTCTGCTTGTTTAGTTATTTTCAAGTGCACGTATTGAAGAGGGACAAAAGCCTAAATTGGATTTATGTTCCTCAGCTTTTGGAAAATAACTCGGTGACCAACTGGGGTGTGTGTGACAGAGATGGGCTTCTGTGCACATCTGGGCTTCTCTTGCCCTCTCTATGGGGACCTGGGAATCCTGCCCTCCACTAACTACTCCCAAGGACCCTCCAGGGCCCTCGTCCGTTCCCCAATTTATGAACAGGTCCTGAGGGGAAGATGGCAAGAGGCAGAGTAGGGACAGCCTGTGAGCATTGGACACTGCCCTATCTCACCAAGACCTGGAAGGTTCTGAGCCATTGCTATAGGCTGGGCTGCAGAACTCATCAACAAGAAAGAACATAAGTAACACTCATTGCTGAATGGTCCTCTGTGCTGGGGAGGCTGCCGGCTGGTGGAGAGAGGCCTCAGTTGCTCCCTCTGTCTCCAGGCAGGTGGGCACTTTGCAGGGGAGGGCTTCTGGCAGAGCAGCTGGAACAGAGGAGAAACCAGGACTGGCCTCACTGAAAAAGGAGGCCCGGCCCCCAGCAGTTCCACCTTCTCCATCCCAGCTCCAAGCTGAAAACCGTGTCCACGTGGATGACTCCAACCACAACCACAGCGTGTCAAGACAATAGTCATACCACAGTCCTTCCCCAAACCCCAAGGGTTCCCAGAGTATCACTGAGCCCCAAGGGATACGTTTCTAGGAAACACCCACACACTTAAGTTGAGACTTAAACACCCAGGCAGAGATAATACAGCAGAAAGGGCCCTGATGTGGCATCTCAGATCAACATGAGAGAAACCAAGGGATCTCAGATCTTTTTTTTTTTTTTTTTGAGATGGAGTCTTGCTCTGTTGCCCAGGCTGAAGTGCAGTGGTGCGACCTCAGCTCACTGCAACCTCCATCTCTGGGGTTCAAGTGATCCTCCTGCCTCAGCCTCCTGAGTAGCTGGGACTACAGGCGCACGCTGCCATACCTGGCTAATTTTTTTTTTTTTTGTATTTTAGTAGAGATGGGGATTCACTGTGTTACCCAGGCTGGTCTCAAACTCCTGAGCTCAGGCAATCCGCCACCGTGAACCACGGCGTCAGGCCATGATCTCAGATCTTAAACAATGTCCAGGGGCCATTGTGGTGCTGCAGCTCGGGCTTATTCTCTTGTGTTCTGAATCGTCTTCTGGTGTCCTTGCGTGAACGGAGTGTGTGAATGGTTTCTATTATTATTTTGTCTTTCTTGATTTGGGTACAGCTTTGAGTCCCTGCAGATAAAAAGGTATCTTCTGTCTCTTCTTTTCACAAAATAAATAAATAAAGTCAACTTGCAGTGTGCACGTGTCAACGTCCTGAGAAGTCCCAAAGGCCCATTCTTGGTACCATCCTCAGAGAGCAGCATGGGAGGCTTTGGCCCAGAGTAAGAAGGAGGGATAAACTCTGCCGTCCACACTAGCAGGGCCCTAAGGAAGAGCCTCAGATGGAGGTGGCTGCCCCTCCCCAGTCCCAGCACCCCCCTCCTCCACGTGGGGAACAGAGGAGGGAGCAGGCGGGAGGCTGGGGAAGAACGGCCAGCACTTCTGGGCCTGCCAGAAACATCCTGGCCCCACGGTCACGTTTTCAGAGCTGGTGTTCCTTTGAAGTCTAAATTAGAACCATATCTCTGCACAGCTTACTCTTGGATTCTAAATCCAAGAGGATTGGGATGTTCAGGCAAAATAGCAAAAGAAAAAAAAAAAACAAAACCCTAGAGTGGAGACCTCCTTAAATGACTGGAGTCCACAGTGACAGAGACCCAGCAGCTCTAACGGGCTGATTATAGTGAATCTCATGGAACAGATACCAGCCTTGCTTTCTCAAATGGTGGCTTCCTGCCAGGACACACTCTTCCCTCCTCCACAGCAATGCTGGACTCAGATCCTGTGCTTCCCCAGTGTCCGTATTACTCAACCCAAAATGTAGCCCTCTGGGTTTACAATGGGCATAATCTGACACAGAAGTTGTCCAGGAAACCAGAAACAGAGATGGGCAGCCTTCAGCAAACCCTTGCAGCCCCTGTAAGCTCTGGATACTGAGTTCTGCTCCTGGGTTTTCGGTGAGAGTCGGGATGGGCTTCTGCTCTGGGTACACTTGCTGCTTGGTCCTGAGCCCCTGCCCACCCAGGAAACATGAGTGTGGGAGAGATTTTCAAATCCAGCTTCGTCTCAGGGAGAAGAGGCGAGGGCTGCGAATCTCCACTGCTTCTGGACATGAGGCAAGAACACTGCTGGCTTTGAGATTCATCCCACATGGGGTTCAAACAGAAAAGCCCGTAGGGCACTGTGGCCTGCCATGTGCCCACCTCTCCTTGCTCCTCATGGGAAGGCTCCTCCTCCTGTCCTCTCCCTCTGCCAGGAGTCAAGTGCTCCCTGCTGGTTTTCCCCAGCCTCCCTCAGGCTCTCAGGCCTCCACTGCTTGGGAGAGACAAAACAAAAGCCAAACATCAAACAGGAAAGACACCAAGCCATAAATAAGTTAAAAACCCCAAATGAAACACCCAGCACATCCTTCATTGAGCAATACTCTTCCCAGAGCCCTAAGGAGGAATTTCAGGCACTGGCTGTAACCACGGGGACCAGCTGGTGACCTCTGTCCACGAGGGAGAAGGTGGGCTTCTCAGGGAAGAGGTGCATCCCAGTGGGACTTTTCCCCCAAGGGCACTCTGTACTTTCCTCTTGGCCTTGCCCCACGTGAGGCCTGGCTGGAAACGGAAAGCCCGGTGAGCTGCCTTTTGCCTCCAGGGACCACAGCTGCTTCTGCCTGCCAGGCCTGAGGCAGCCTTCAAATATGGACACGTTCGGGAGCCAGCCAAGCTGGACGGGGCCTTTGGCTGCACCATTTCAAAACATCCTGCCTGCCAGCTGCAAGGATGTGGATGGGTCAGAGGAGGTAGCCACGAGAATCTAAGGTGGGCAGGGGCTTTGAACGCTGCAGTTCTGAGTCCACTGTTCAGTACCAAACTTAGCTGGGAACCGTGTCACATCATGGTCCTCTAACGTGTTTCCTTCCCCTGCCCTGCTTTCCAAATAATCCTAGAAATGCAATCACAGGCTCCTCTGAGGTGTGTGATACAGAAAAACCCTGTGAGCATAAGCAGCGAGGAAGCTTGTCTGCATAGATGTGTGTACACTTGTGCCTTTATGATGCTTGTCCGCGTGTGGTATACATGCGTGTATGTCTATACGCATGTGTGTGCTTTGCAGCCCTATATGGGGCCCTGATTCATCAGTAACCAGCACAGCCACCCCATTCATGAAAATGCTGACTCGCCCTGTACTGGTTGGTAAACAGCCACTGTCACCTCAAATGAGCCTCAAATGCCACCTTTGACACCCTGGGCTGTCCTGGCCCCTCCTCCAAGGATCCACCTAGATTTCAGACTTCACCATCCAGAAAAGAAATGGTTAACATCAAATAAAGCAGGAGGTCTGACTGCCACTGGTCAGAGCCTTGCTCCTTCTGGTTATTAAATATTTGGACTCTGGCCTGCAGGGTCTCCAGGCACGAATGTGTTTCTGTGTGTGTGAGATTGAAGCTTGCCAACAGGCCCGGGCCTGCCTGGGTCTGCTCTGGAGGCTGCAGCCCCTTGGGTCTGGGTGTGATGGCCCTCAAGGGGTTGGGGCACTGTCATGTTCTCCACGATTAACCCTGGGGCCGCCGCTGCGGTGGGAGCGCTGGCTGGGGGCCCTACTGCTACAGGAGACGCTCCCTGCTCACCACGCTGCGCACCCGCCGTCTGCGAGGGCTGCGGCAAAAAGGCGGGGCAGGCCTTTCACCAGGAGGGGCACACCGGGCCCCGGCCCCCACTACGTGACCCAGAAGGTGCCCTGCTCCTCCAGCAGGCTGAGCGAGCGGTTGGTGAGGGCGGCAGCGTCCTCTGCCAGTTTGTAGCCGAAGAGGCGCATGGCGGTGCCGCAGGCGGCCTGTACCACCTGGGCTAGCTTGAAGGGCATGCTGAAGCGCCACTTCTCGAACTGCTCCGAGGAGTTCTTCTGCGTGGAGTAGATGCCGCTGCCGTCGTGGGCCGCCTGCGTGTTCTTCTGGATCCAGTCCTCCACCTGCGGGGTCAGGGGGATGCCAGCAAAGCGGTACATCTCGCGGGCCTTCTGCAGCGGCCTGCGCGCCACGTCCTCGTAGCGCACCAGCATGTAGCGGCCCCGCAGCCACGCGGGCTGCCGCAGCCCCAGCTCGGCGGACAGGCGGATGCTCTCGCAGTTGCCCCGCAGCCGCTGCACCTCCTCCTCCCTCAGCTGGTCTTGGCCCTCGTCATCCAGCCACTTCTTCCAGGTCTTGTACTTGCCGGCGAAGGCTACCATGCGCGAGGCCAGCACGGCGCGGGGGTCTCGCACCAGCTGGATGACGCGCAGGTCCAGGCGGGGGTCCTCGGCCAGCGGCTGCAGGAACTCCAGCTGCCTCATGCGCACGGCCTTGAGGGCCATATGGTCCTTGCGGCGGCAGGCCTCGGCGGCCAGTGTCACGTTGAGGGGGCCGCAGCGGCGGTTCTTGCAGTGGTACTTCTCGAAGACCTTCTTGACGAAGGGCGTGCAGACGGGGTCCTCGCACAGGGAGCGGCTGGAGCCGCGGCGGAACATGAACTGGGTCAGGTGGTCCTCGGGCAGCGGCGTGATGAAGGGCTCCAGCACGTACAGGTCGCACAGGAAGAGCTGCTTGAGCACGTCGCGGTACACCAGGGCCGAGCCCGCGGCGTTGGCGCCCCCCGGCTCGAAGGACACCGTGCGCTCGATGTGCCACAGCGGCTCGAAGAGGTAGAAGATGTTGCCCTGCTGGTTGAAGAACTCGCCCACGAACGAGGAGCCGGTGCGCGTGGTGGCCATGAGCAGCACGTGGCGCCGGGGCCCCGCCGCGGCCGGTCTGGGCGGCTCCTCCTCCTCTTCCTCCCCAGCGGCCTCCACTGCTGGCTCCACGCCCAGCTGCAGGCTTAGGTTGTGGAGACGGCTCTTCAGCTGGGAGAAGGCTGAATCTAGCTCGCTCAGGGACAAGAGAGATGCGTTCTCAGCCAAGACCAGGGCTGGGTCGGTGCTGTTGGCATCTGCCAGGGCTTGGGGGATCTGCTTCAGCCTGTCTGAGACCCTGTGAGGACAAAAGAAGACCAGGGTCAGTGGCTGACTGGGGACCCTGCCTCCTGGGCAACCCTAAGCAGTCCTCCAAGTAGATCACCAAAGCCTGTCTCAGTTGGGTTTCCCCAAAAGCAGACTTTGAGGCAAGGATTTGTGTTTCAATCGTTTATCTGGGACATGATTGCAAGAAGAACTAGGTGGGGAAGTGAGGCAGGGGAGGAAAGGCATCCATGTATGGATGTGCCGCACGGAGCAGGTGTGGGCATTGGATGCTCAGTCTGATGGGGACCTGGGGGACATTTTCTCCCTGGTGCTTCCAGCTTGCCAGTGTGCAGGTAGAGAGGAAGCCCTCCGGTGCAGAGCTGCAGGGGCTTGCAGTAGAACCCAACAGGCGTGCGCTGGAACAGTCCTTGCCTAGTGATCCAAATGGGGCATTGACAGTGTTTACTCTACAACCCAATCCCTGATCTACCCATCTTAGCTAATGCTTTCTGGCAGGTCTTGTGCCTGGGAGGAGAACAGGCCCAGGGCACATAGCTGTATGTTGCCAATTCGAAGGGGTAAGGGGGCGTTCCCAGAGGAGCCTATTTGAGGGGCATGCCCCTGGAGTTGAGCAGTACACAACCTGGCAGCTGCACATGGCAGCCCTACCCATCAGAATAGCTAAGTACTAGGACCTTGCCTTTCCATGGGCGCAATGACATCAAGACTTCTACAGGCGATGTGCTGCTAATGCAAGGCATCACTCTAGGCCAGGAAGTACAATGATGGTGATAGTCACAGCCAGCAAGTACTGGATACCAACTATGTGCCAGACACTGGGCTAGATGCTTTTACATTTTCTCATTAATCTTTACAACAGCGCTGGTACCATCATTAGCCACATTTTACAGAAGAGGAAACAAAGACTCAGAAATGGGAAGTATCTTGCCTAATCTTTCACAGTTGTAGAGGGCCACCATGAGGCACTCCAACCCAGGCTATCTGAGTCCAGAGCCCAAGTCTCACCCCTGTACAGTCATGAGGATGTGTGCAGGACCCACTGCCTGGGACACAGGAGGGGCCTGGGGATGGCTTGTTGAAGGAAGGCATTTGCAGGTCCACAGAGAGCCCTGCAGTTACCTCTCTGCCTCGCCCACCCCACCTTGAAAGGAAGATGAAGACTTGGGCTTGCAACTCTCACCTTGATATGATTTTATTTTCCTTTTCAATGAAGACAAAAACTATCACCACGAAAATCAAGAAAAGGGCATATTTGCTCCTCATCTTCAGGCTGTGCACAAAGTCCCGACAGTCCTGGGGCAAAGTGAGTCCTTTCTCCATGGGGAAAGACAGGGGGCGTCTCAGGCTGGCCTTGGACACTCAGCTCAGGGGCATCACTCAGGACCTGGCTTGTCGTCTTCAGGTGGGGGACACCCTCGTCCTGCAGAGAGACAGGTGGTCAGAACACCCTTGTCTGTACACGAGGAATGCAGAGGACATTTCTCCACCAGACTTTTGAGGATCTCGGCCCTGGTTAGCAGCCAGGACCCCAGATCCATTCTCCAGACAGACTGTGCCCGAGAGAGACTGAAGGTCTCTTTAACAGGTCATTTAAAATGCTAACGAATCATCAGGTTCATCCATCCCACTCCATCAGCTTCTCCCTTGACCTCACACAGCAAAGGCATGTGGATGGAAAAGAATAGCCCTTGTAGCATAAATGTTTATAACGGCAAAAAGAGTGCAAACACCTGAATGAAAATGGTGGAGCATCCAGGTGATGGATTTTTGTGGCTACAAAGAATAATGAGGTCGATGTACAAATGTGAATGATGCAGAATATACATGAGAACACACACACACACACACACACACACACACACACACACACACGTTGTAGACCCTGTGCTCATGCAGGACCGGACTTCCCAACCTCAGCACTGTTGACATTTTCGACCATGTTAAGTGGGGATTGTCCTGTGCATTATAGAATGTTTGACAGCATCTTTGGCCTCTACCCAGTAATTGCCAATTTGGGTTGTTTTTTAGACAGGGTCTCACTGTGTTGCCCAGGCTGGAGCGCAGTAGCACGATCATAGTTTACTGCAGCCTCAACCTCCCAGACTCAATTGATTCTTTCACCTCAGCCTCCTGAGTCACCACAAGTGCACGCCACCACACCCAGCTAACTTTAAAAATTTTTTGTAGAGATGGGGTCTCGCCATGTTGCCCAGCCTGGTCTTGAACTCCTGAGTTCAAGCAATCTACCTGCCTCGGTTTCCCAAAATGTTGGGATTATAGGCATGGGCTACTGCACCTGGCCCCCACTGATCATCTGTAACAATCAAAATATCTCCAGGCATTGTTAAGTGTTTCCTGGGGTGGGAAGGTGGGGGTGCCAAATCATCCCAGGTGGAGAACCTCCAATGTAGCAAGATCCTGTTTGGAAAAAAAATGCCGGGAAAAAATATAGATGCGGGATACAAATGGACTCTGGCTGCAGGAAAACACGAGGACTGGTAACAATGGTTGCCTCTAGAAGGGGGACGGGTAGGTGGAGTGAGTCTTATGTTTGCTATGTAACACTGTGCCATCAGTACACACATTTTACCATGTGTATGTGTAAAGTGTAAAAAATTAACTAAAGAAAAATAATGTCGGCCGGGTGTGGTGGTTCACGCCTGTAATCCCAGCACTTTGGGAGGCCAAGGTGGGCGGGTCACCTGGGGTTGAGAGTTTGAGACCAGCCTGACCAACATGGAGAATCCCTGTCTTTACTAAAAATATAAAATTAGCTGGGCGTGATGTTGGGGACCTGTAATCCTCGCTACTCAGGAGGCTGAGACAGGAGACTCGCTTAAACCGGGAGGCAAAGGTTGCAGTGAGCCAAGATTGCGCCACTGCACTCCAGCCTGGGCAACAAGAGCGAAACTCTGTCTCAAAGAAAAAAAAAAAAAAAATCATAGTGCATGAATTCTACCTAAATCCTTAATGTGGCCTCAGCCTGCGGGTCTCCACTTTCTAGGCAGCCTCCCCCAGGCTATGTTAGGACTCCGTACAGCCCCACCACTGTACAAAGATGATCATGAGCACCTGGGACTTTGTCATAAAGCAACAATTGTTCAACCCTGAACATCCCTTCAGGGAGGACAGGGAGTTTGTCTGGGCCTCTCATTATCTCTCAATTCTGGGCCAGGCAAGAGATAGACAGTTGCTGAACAACAGATGGATAAAGGAAAAACTGACCCTCAACTAAAATAGTATGTATTATTAGTATTATTATTTAGAAACAGGGTCTTGCTCTGTTGCCCAGGCTGGCCTCAAACTCCTAGGCTCAAGCAATCCTCCTTTCTCAGCCTCTGGAGTAACTGGGACTGCAGGTGTGCCACTGGTGCGCCACCGCACTTGGCTCTAAAGTTGTTTATGGCTGGAGCGAATACAGCATTGCCCATGGAGCCTGAATCACCGTTTCTTTCATTCATCCTCACTGCCAGTGGCAGCATCCACACACACCCTATTCTGCACCAGGACCCCATATTCCTGCACAGCCCCCACTTCTGAAAGTCCATCCATTTTCTCCAGAAGGTCATGCACAGGGGACAACCTGCTCCAGCTTGGGGTTTGGAAACACATTACTGTGACCTCATACAGGGCACCCAGGGCCACCTTGCTCAATGCTACTGCCTGTCCCTCTTTCTGGAAAAGATGAATTTTTTTTTTCCCCAAGGGAAGGGGCGGATGTTGACATAGGGGAGTGGGAGGGCAGGAAGGAGGGTCTGGGGGCTGCATTTCCATCATATAATAAAGTGGCTTCAGGGATAGCCAGAAAAGTCTGTCCTCTGGGGAAAGCAGTGAGGTCAGGGTTCCAAATGTGGGTGAGCAGGTGGGCACTCTGGCAGCTGGGGTGGGGCCCCCAGGTTCAGGTGGGGCAGAGGGAGGTGCGAGGGCCTCCTAGTGTGAGTGGTTAGAGAAACCACAGAAAGGAGAGTCTATCCCCACGCCACCGCTTTTTGTTTTTCAGTTTTTTTTTTTTTGAGACAGAGTCTCACTCTGCAACCCAGGCTGGGGTACAATGGTGCAATCTCAGCTTACTGAAACCTCTGTTTCCTGGATTTAAGCAATTCTTGTGCCTCAGCCTCCTGAGTAGTTGGGATTACAGGCATGAGCCACCACTCCCAGCTAATTTTTGTATTTTTTGGTTGAGATGGGCTGTCACCATGTTGGCCAAGTTGGTCTCAAACTCCTGACCTCAGGTGATCTGCTTGCCTCAGCCTCCCAAAGTGCTGGAATTACAGGCGTGAGCCACCATGCGTGGCCTAGGAGCGTCTACTCCTAACTGGAATAGTCCTGCCTCTTTCTGATCCTCCTGGGCCTTTTCTCATGAACTTACTCAGTGAATATTTTCTGAGCACTTACTGTGTGCTGGCCTCTGGCCTAGGCACTGGGACTATGGGGGTGAACAAGCAGGCATGGCCTGTGCGCTCACGGGGCCTGCATTCTGGCTGGGAGGGCCAACCAATGGCATAGGCAGCCGAAGTTCCCTGAGTACATATTTCTCTGGGCCAGGTAAGAGCTTACACTCCTCATCAAAACCTCAGCAAAGCCCTGTGAGACAGCAGCTAGCCCATTTAACAGGTGAGGAAACTGAGGTTGAGACAGGTTAAATAACTTACCTAACGTTCCTCCAGCAGAAGTCTCTGGCCACCCCTCCCAGGTCCAGGTCATTTGAGCTTCTTGGTGCTTCCCCGGGACCCCCAACCTAGCACCTATGGTGGGGCTTTCTAGCTGTCTCCCTTCCCAGAATGCAAGCTCCCCGAAGTTGGGACCCGCATCTAGAATGGCACTTGGCACAGACAAGCTGTCCAAAAATCAGTGGTGAGGCTGGTGCCTGGCAGCTGTTGGCATGAGTGTGTGGAATGGCCAGTGGGGCCATGTCCCCCATGTACCCTTTTGGCCCACGGTGGGGGGCGAGGCCACCTGCCCCACTGACACGGTGAGAACCACCACTGAGTTTTCAGAGTACAGGGTGTTGACTTTCTGCCCCCTCTACCCTCAGGTAGTCTGGGGTTGATGATGTGAGGGAGGCAGAAGGAGCTGGGGCCAGAACTCCTGAGCTCTAGTTCCTCCTGTGTCTCTACCATGCTGTGCAACCTTGTATACGTGGCAACCTTTTCCTTAGGCATTTGTTCACCTGCAGCATGAAAAGGGCAGTCCCTGCTGCACAAAGGTGCTGTGAGGAACGTATCTGATGCATGGTAAATGCTCGTGAAATAGGAGAGGGGTGAAAAGGCAGGCATGAGTGGGGGAGTTGCCCTCACTACCCTCTCCCTTCTGGGCCTGGCACCTTGGTAAGGTTTACAAGTTGGGGTGCCTAAATGACAAGCCTCTGAACCTTCTCCTTCCCTCCCTTCCAGGGGAGGGACTTACTTTTAAGACTATTCTAGCCTCCTCATCCCCAGAACAACACAGCATTCTTGAGATCCTTTCTGATGCTGCCCTAAAAGGAAGAAGCAAAGCTGGATACTCAAGACAGGAAACCCAGGCAGGCCATTTGCCCCCTTGCCCTGTCCAGACAGCTGCGCCTCTGTTTAGCTTTGGAAACTGAGCGGGCAGGTGAGCGGACAGGTGAAGGAGGCTTGGAGCTTCCCAGAGCCAGGAGGCGGGAGAAGGTCATGGTACCAGAGGTCACAGGAGCATGAGGGAAGGGGATAGGGCCCAGATGGGGGTTACTCGGCAAAGCCCCATGCAGACTGCATCCTGCAGGAGGCCCTTTGCAAGGAGCAGGCCTGTGACATCTGTGACATCAGATGAATCTTTGTATCACTTCTCTCCCACTTTCATGGTGCAAAGGCTAGGCTTACCCCCCTGGCTTAGCTCATGGGAGGAACTGAAAAGTCTCTTCCTCCTTCTCTTGGTCCCTCATAGCCCCTAGTACTCAATACCTTACATCCAACCAGGCTCGGTGGCTGACACCTATAATCCCAGCACTTTGTGAGGCCGAGGCAGGTGGATCACCTGAGGTCTGGAGTTCGAGACCTGGCCAACATGGTGAAACTTTGTCTCTACTAAAAATATAAAAATTAGCTGGATGTGATGGTGGGCACCTGTAATACCAGCTTCTTGGGAGGCTGAGGCAGGAGAATCACTTGAACCTGAGAGGTGGAGGTTGCCGTGAGCTGAGATCGCGCCATTGTACTTCGGCCTGAGCACCAAGAGTGAAACTCTGTCTCAAAAAAAAAAAAAAAAAGCCAAAAGCAAAATTTTCATCCCCTCAATGCTCCAGCAACTACATAACCAACCGCCCAAGGAAAAGGTGGCATCCCCTGCTTGGGTCCCACTGGAGGCCGCTTTGCAGGGTGCCAGGGCCAACAGTGAAGCATGTCAGAGCACGTGTCTGGCCGTGCTCGGGTGCAGCAGGCAGTGGGACAGCTCCCTCGGCCC